AACGAGACAGACTCATATCGTCAATCTAACCATTTCGTGTGCAAATTATACAGTTCACCATTGTGCATACAATACCTCAATTTCAAATTAATAATAAAAAATGATACTATACTAATAACTACAATTTATCACAACAAGTTATGCATTCATATTAAAACATATTATATAATATTCAAAAAACATTTTTTTAAAAAAATAAATTAAAAGAAAAGATTTTGGAGGAGGAATTATTTTAGTCAAGGAATTATTGTGAGTTTAAAGGAGAGTTAATGACATCATAAGAGGACATGCCGCGGCTTTAAAACGGCGTTAATGGAAGATTAATTGATCTTTACTAATCCAAATCAAAACTTTGCAGTAAAATCAAATCCCATATCTTCCTTGTGGGTCTCTCCTCTCTTTATATATAATCACTGCAAGTTTTCTCTCCACCATTTTCCATCCAATTCCCTTCATCAAACGGTCCACATTTCATCATATCCACGACTTGCACGACCTTTAACCCATTCTAACATAAACCCCTCCTTGTTCCTTCTCTCCCCTTTAGTGGTCCTCGCTCAGACCCCCCTGAAGTGTTGTACAGTCTGTGCTAGCTATTCTAATCTCCCTTTTTGGGGCTTCCCTTTTGCTTGGTTTTTGAAACCAGGGAAACGTTTCTTGTTTTTGTCTTCTGTTCTCATTGAAACTCAAGTTTGCATTTTTCTCCTCTTCAATGAGGTTTTGGGTCTTTTTTTAATGACTATAGACCCATTGAGTTCAAGTCTTTCTTGTGCCTGTTTTTGTTTTTTTTTTTTTTTTTTTTTTCAAAAGCTTTTGGAAACTTTCAGGCTGCCATGGGGGATGTTTACCGGAATTTGGAAGGAAAACGAGTAGATTAGAGAGAGTGATTTGGAGTGCAAAGTGGATACTTTTGTCAGTTGGGATTGTTCTACTGTCATTTTCAAAGTGGCAATAATTCCATACACATTCACTTCATTTTCTCTATGTTTTCGTTTCTTCCAAAGCTATGACTTTCTTCAGAAGTTTACTTTCTCTCCTAATTTACATCCTTCTCAACTTCATCATCATCTCCATTGCCCGCTCTTCAACTTTCGCTCGGCAAAACAACCCCACCCTGTGAAAAAAGTCACCAAGAATGGCCTCAAAGACCACCAAAAAGACCCCCCCGGAAAAGACCCAAAACTTTCAAAAAGTGTCAACAACATCCAGCAGCCTCAGACGATGATCTCTGGTCTCAAATGGTTCAACATCATGTTGATGATGAAGTTAAAGAAGAAAACCCACTTTGTCCACTCTCAAACTACCGACCCATCTCAAGAAACGCCCTCAACGCCGCATTACCGGAAGATTTCACTGAAAAATCTGAGGAGTTTACTCAGGAAACTCTTGAAGACACTGGAGATTGATCACTGAAGGCCAGGGAAGCAACAGAACCGGCACCTGAAGAAAGACACTGGGACACGCCACCACGGGCTCCGTCAACGCCGCAAAGGAGGAAAAACCGGCGGAGAACATGGTGAACACCATCCCGATAGCGATGTGTGATATGACGAGACAATCCTGAGGATCACGTCGCGTGGGCCAAACGGCTGAGAAAGTCAGAGACTTTCAGTGACAAGCGTCTCTGAGGAGGGAGAAACCGATGAGTCAGGACGAGTTGAATCGAAGGCCGAGTCTTTCATCAAGAAGTTCAACAATGACATGAGGTTGCAGAGGATGGAGTCTCACCAGCGTCGATGGCAATGATCAGGAGGACTTAAGTTGTTTTTAATCAGTAATTTTAGCTTAATTAAAGCCTAATGATGGGTTAAATTGAATTTTTATGTTTTTAGGTTGTGAATAACAATCACCCCTTTCTCGGTTACTGTTAATGTCACCATGTAAGGTTAATTAGAATTGCCATGGCCTTATTCTAGTTAATTATATTGTATAAAACCACCATGAGGGTTCAGTTGACAGTGCAGTCGGCCTGTGTAAGGGCCTATTTCGTCGCAATAAGATTATGATTTGGCTTAAATGTATAGCATCAAGTAAAGATTAAAAGGATTGGGACTAATTTCTAGTTCTTTCTTTTAAGGCAGAATCTTTCTATTTTCTATTTATTTTTTGTTTGGGTGTTTTAGATGGTTTTTGGTTTGTCGTCTTTTGGAATGGAATCAATTGAGTTTGATTTGTTTAGTGTAGATAGGGTATGAGCTTTAGAGTGTGTGTACCAGCTTGGACCAAAGAAGCTTTTGGTTTTATCATTTTCATGACAATCATTTCGTGGCATTGTGCTCTTTAACACATGTCGTGTCTGCCTAATTGCCCATTCCATTGTTTAATCAACTCACTTCAATTTAGTCAAAAATGTTTTTGTAAAACTGATTCCGAAAGCATTTAACCAAACCAATGGCCCTTTAAATATTCTCGATGGCACCACAAGGACGAACCAAATTTGATTTAAAGTCGGCAGAGGCTAGAGTTGCGCTTAGAAGAGTTAAGTGTAAAAAAAAAAAAAAAAAAAAAAAATATTTAGGAAAGAAGAACCAGAATCTTGACCCTGTTTATGATTGCTGTCCCTTCTTTTTATTGATTTTATGGCTGGGTTGACGAGTTATGAGTTGTGATGATCCCACTTTTGTATTTAAAATGAGTCCCCTCCATAAAGCTGTGAAATTTTGCAAAGCACATGTTCAAAAAGAGAGGGATTTTAGTACAAAGCATGATGATACAAGCTGTTCAAGCCCAGAATGTTCACATCATAGGGCTTTGTCCACCACTTAGCCACAAAGATTCCATTTGAGCTGGTTGGTCATTTTGTTCAAATATTTGAACATCTCTTTGTTTGGAGAGATTTCAAGATTTTATGTGCAAACTATAAGTGACCACAGGACCATTATCTAAACTATCGTTGAGTTAAGAAGGCAACAGATAGAACTAGGAAAGGAAGGGAAAAACATTTTTATCTTATGTAACCTAGCAAAAGATAATTAGGCCACCAATGCGTCTAGACACAACATTCTAACAAAAAATTCACTCCTTTGCAAACTCAAAGAGCATTCCAAACTGAGTTGTCCCAGTGGGTCCTCAGGGACATTAATGGGTATACACTGCTAGCATATGGTGAAGCAAGCTTGTGGTGAGAATGCCCCATTGCTTGATCTCCACAAGGCCAAAAGTATGTTTTAGACCCCGCAAATCTCTCCATGGTTCACATGTAGAGCCTCAAGGGGACCAAATCACCCGGTGGTTTTGGTAGTAATGGTGCAAGAGTCGAAGAAACTGGGAGTGTATTACAAATGATGGTTGGCCCAGAAGAGAGGATATGAGACTGCACACAGATGTTGAAAAGGAACCAAGGTGGCTGCCAAAATTTCTGTCCCTTTCCAGCTGCTTCATTCCTGGAATGCATAATTGCTACTGGCACATCACAATTAGTTAAGAGTCAGAACAAAAGTTCAGCTCAATATATTTGTCTATATGAAGATCATCAAATAAAAGAACTATATCTTCACTCTCTTTCAGCTTTCCACTTCCAAGAACTTTATGCTAGCAAAAGTTGTTGATTCTACCACCATATTGCCACTAATTTGATTATGTCAAACGACTGCCTTTCCTCTTTCCAATCCAGCAAAATGACTTAAATGAGGTGATGCAAAATTTACAATAGCAGAGGTACATATTCCATGGACACATTTAAGAACAAACTGAATATTAATGAAATACACCATGAATTGATCATTCTTAATGTGATAAAACTAGAACTAATTTTAGAATAAGTTGCATCACAACGACTAACCCAATTCATGAGCTTAGGAATGTACAGTCAAAAACGGATAGACCATTTATTGGACAACAAATGCATCTCACACAGATGCAATAATAAGCTCTAATGCCTTAATTTGCAGATCAATCAAACGCACCAATTTAATGTAATTTCTCGATAAATTTGACATAAAATGCCCAAATCTTAGCACATATCATATCTTGTACATCAAATCTTACAAAAAAACCACAGAGTTTTTCATTAAACACACAGCGTTTAAACCATTAACTCCACCCAACATTCTAAATGAAAAGAACTAAAATACAAGAAAGCGAGGGACAGGTGAAAGAGGAAGTACCCTGTTGTGTAGGCAGTGAAACTAACTAGACTTGAACTCCTTGCAGACTGATTTCTACTGCCAGAGCATGTACAGCTAACCATTTAACTCAATCACCTCATCTTCAATTCTAACTGCGATTTTGGCTTTGATTTCCCTCCCTTTTTCTTTTTTTCATATTTCTGATAATGAAGTATAGTTTTCGATGATGTGAACAAGAGCACTCAACTGCGGCACATGTGATGAATTTCGATGCCATTAAGGGAGGATTTGGGGATCTACAAGAAGGTTTTAAGAGGGACTTGATTCACATTGACTATTTTCTAATTGTATTGAATCAAAACTTGGTTCTTATTTCTGTGTTTTTTTTTTTCTTTTCTTTAAATCGTCAACCCAAACCAGGTTGAACTCCGAGTAATTTCTTCCTGTTTGCATCTGTATGTAAGAGGCTAGTCTATAACTTGCTTTTCGTATTGTGAATATCATCAATTGCAACAATGAGAAAAATTAATTCATTCATGTAACATACTTTTGGCTCAATAAGCAATCGCCTTTAACTATCTTTCCAGTATAGATTTATAGATGGACGAAGGACTAGTTAAATGTACATGCACATTTGATGTCATAACATATAAGCTACATGCTTTTGTAAATTAGCAACAACATGATAAGTACTATTTTTTAGTCAGCATGAAAGTTACAACCAAATATAAGGATACATTAAAATGATCACCGATTCTACAAACAAAAGCAATATTAACTGTTTCTAAACATGACTACAAAGTAATCTTGTTTTCTTGTTCCTCATCAAGACTTAATGAAATCATTTCCAATGAAACTAAACACCATGTTTCCAAACAAAAACTAAAGGCCATGATTTCTTAACTCCAACCAATGACCATTTCACCTATGTGGCTACAATCGGTTCTAACAATTGACCCTCAGAATGATGCAAAACATTACAACAAGCAACCAAAAGTAACTAAATCTAGCTTAACACTGGCATAACAAAGAAAAAGCAGGTCAAAACAGTGCAAACCGCACCAAAGAAAAAGCTAATTATGCTCAACTCTACGAGCCAAAATATCCATCATTTACAGGGCAAATAAGTGGGTTTCGCATAAGTGGATTCAATACAGGTAGAAGGCAGCTAACAGAGCAAAAGAAAACAATTAAGAAGATTTATTGTTGCCCGATAAATAAACAAAGCTGTATGGCACGCATATAACTTGCCAAATATCCAGAAATTCAATTTGATTTACAAATCCTTCAACACCACTTAAAACTGCTCCATTTCATCCATCAAACAGTTATTATATAAAAAGCATTAACGAAAAAAAAAACCTTAATACCCGCCAAAATTTCCATTTTCATTTCTACTCATTGAAACAAGCATACAAGTACAAGAATCCAACCAATCAAATTCAAAATTACCTAATACAGAAATCAAATTCCAAACCCTGTAGAGTTCATTTAGCTAACTTGCAACATTCACACATCGCAAATCCGCCAGCTCAACAGTCCCAAGCCTCTCATCTTCCGGCAAAACCGACCAATTGGGACTTTGAACAGCTCTCAACCACTTGAAATCATCCACATTGCCCCAATTCCCCGTCTCCTCACTCAACCCGGCAGCTTCCAAATCCTCCTCAATCCCCTCATATTTCAAACAATACGGCCCAAATCTGATCCCATTACAATCCTCAATGATCGGCCTACTCCTAACTCTCAAATAAAAATCACAACTTTTCGCAAAATGAATCCTGATTTGATGCGATGCCAAAACCAAAACACAATCCTCAACTTCTTCAATCAAAATCGAACCCGTCACAGGACCGGCGTAAATTTTACAACCCTTTAATTTATTAACAAACAGAGCGTTCACACAACCCAATAATCTCACCTCACACGAGTCCAAACCCGCTAACGTAAACTCCCCAATTTCAGAACCCTTAAAGTCTCGGAACAATACTTGGTTTTGTTTATCTCGAAAACCCGGGGATTCACGAACCGGGAAATTTGACGTTGGTTTTGTTTCATTTGGTTCTGAAATGACATCATTTTGACGGATCTGGGTTTGGGTTTTGGTGGGTTTGTTTTTGAAGGCGAATTTCTTTTTGGGGATCAACTGGGCCGACAAGTTCTCAAGATTTTGCTTCAAATCCGAGATGGTTTTGAGAGATGATCGGACTTCGTAGGAGGGGAGGGAGTAGGAATTCTCGGCGACGAGTTTCTCGAGGGCGGAGATGGAAGCGGATATATCTGGGAGACGAGAGGGGTCCGTCGTGGTTTGGAGGTGAGAAGTGATGGAGTTTTTGGAGTCGTTGAAGCGGGAGAGGAAGGCGGAGGTGGATGAGTCGAGTGAGTCGACTTTGCGGGTTTCTAAACGAGTTTGGTGACGATTTGAGAGACGCTCCAGCATCAACTGGTGTTTCTTCTGTAAACTTTGGTCTGGAATTTGATGGGGTTGTGTGTTTTCTTCGTCTTCCATTCCAGCCCGTTTAGTTGTCTGTGGAATTGATTTGCAATGGATTCAATCCAAATAGTTTATAAAACCAATAACATTAAGCAGCAACGATTGAAGGCGACGTGAATCCTTAATTTAATTGAAGGAGATTGAAGAGGTTAGGGTTTTGATTTAAAGTAAGAGAGGAGGAAAAGAAGAGGTTGATAAATGAAGATGAGAATTGGATTTGTGCTTACGTGGTTCGTGCCGTCCTCACACAATACACCAAGCCAAATGAGAGGGCTCGCTGCGTTACCGTCTCTCTTCACTCCCTTCTAACTCGTAGAACACTAGCCTTAGGTCCAATGTTCTAAAAATTGGATCGGACAATAACCTGTTCAAGGGTCCAATTTTCGGTTTGACAGATTGTATCAGTCGGTTGGACCGTAATTTATAAAATTAGTTTTAGTCCTTAAAGGTTTGAAACTCATCAAAAACACTCCTATAATGCTCCCTTAAAGTTTGAAATCTATCTAAAACACTCCTATTGCGCGAAGATTCTGGTTAGTGGTGGCGACAGCAATGATCGACGGCCAATCGAAGCTGCAATCTTGGAGCTTTTGATGTGTAGGTGCCGACGACTCTGATGGTGGTGCTAAGGAGTTCCATTGGCGTTGGAACTCGCCGAAATCAACAAAAGAAATCCGACGTCACGTAAACTTTAGGTGGACGGCGATTGACGAAGGCTAGACGACAGCGACTGAAAATGGATGGGTTTGGTCGTGGAGATGTCGTCACGTCGAATGGGGGTGTTTTCTCTGTCAAAAGATGTCGGAATCCGACAGGGTTTAGCTACGATTGGACCGCGATTCGGTACTATTCCGGTGGTTCAACCGCGGTTCAATCCGGTTTAAATCAAAATAACGGTTTTTTATATATATCGGACCGGATTTGTCGCCAGTTGCCGGTCAAACTGCGGTCCAACCGTGGTTCGGTCTAGTTTTCAGAACATTGCTTAGGTCCTCAAAAATATGATTGCCAAGTAATAAAAGTTTAATACATTATCATTTTGGATAAATTGTTTTCCAAGAAGAATGGGACAAGAAAATCCACTATGGAATCAATATGTTTTCTTTTTTGGTTTTTCGGACAGATTGTCATAAAAAGAATAATTGGCGTCAAAATCGTAATGAAAATTTAATAATAGGTATATTTAGAATATTAATGAATATAACATGAGTTTATTGAATATATATATATAGTTGTATCCAAAGTTTTATTGAGTGAGTTCAAAACATTTAAATTAATAAATTTGTAGTAAATTTCATGCAGTCAATACGGATTTAAGTGGGTCAAAATTGTAAGTATTATAAAATATAATCCTTTTTTTTTTTTCAAAGTTGAATGGGTTCAATTTTGTATTTAATTGGACTCAAAATTGTAAATACTATAAAATATAAAGTTTTTTTTTTCTTCTTCAAAGTTTAAGTAAGTTCAATTGAACCACTGAGATATTTCGCAATAGTTGACGATGAAAATTTGCATGTTGGTGATGGCATAGTCATGGAGTGTCGGAATCGCTGCAAGCACGCTAGAGAAGAAGAACTCATCGTCACCGCAAAGCCCCATCCCGAGACCTTACATGGGAATCACTAGGCTGATTTTTTTTCCAAAATTTTATAATTTTTTTAGGTTTGGGTTTGGGTATGGATTTGGATTCAAATAATAAGGTATCTTCATCTTTCCAATGACTATACTATGTCAGTTAATAGATTTCACTAGCAGCTTGTAGCAACAAGTGGGAAGTTGTTTTTTTCAAACCTTTCGGGTAGAAAAACTTACTTAGGCTGGGAAATTGTCATTCTCCCTTTAAATTAAACTAATTAATTTGCAAAAAGCCCAAAAATTTGATCAATAGATTATGATGAAGTGGATATGGCAGAAATCATAGAAAGCTAAAGCAAGGTGTATAAATTTTGATATAAATTTTGACATAAATATAAAAAGTTTAAACTTAATATTCAATAAAAATAATGAGAAAATACTATGACATCGGAAGAGATAAATAAAAAATAAGTAAATTTCTAAAATATATACCAATAAAGAATCTAATTAAAATTTCTAAATAGAATTTGGATTCCAGATCTAATTGGGCCTTAGTAGGCCTCATTTACTCTTAAACAATAATGAGTTTGAAAATGATTGACAAACTCGGTCACTTCTCATTAGCTTATTTAATTTAATTTTGATTATTTAGCTTTCGAATTGATTTCAGCTAATCAATTAAGCAACCTCGTTTTTTAAATAAATATGTTAATTACTTAATATGTTAACAGAGAATTAAGAGTAAACTTCAAATATAATCAATATTACTAGGCAAGGCTCACAAGGACAAAAAGAAAAGAAGAGAATTATCTCATCCCTACCCGCCGAAAACCCCATGCATCCATATTCAACACAAGCTCCAAACCCTACTTCTTCTACTTCTCGCATGCCTCCATCCAACTTCACCTCTCTGTTCATATGATCCAAAAAATCCTTTGAAATGCAAATAATAATAGATCAAAATTAGACCTATATGCGACTAATGTACGTTGTTACAACATCACAAAACACTAAACTCTTCTCCTTTATCTATAATAAAACAAAAATCAAACATTCTACAAGGGGGTGTTTCCCTGAACTTATGAAAATTAGCTTATAAGCAGCTAATGCTTAAGCTTATAAGCATTTAAATTTTACGCAGTTATGTGTTTGGTTAAAATACTTATAAGTGACTGATAAGTAGTTGACGCGTTTGATAAAATATTGCTTATAAGCTCAGCTTATAAACCCAAAAAAGTTATAAACAAATAAGTCAACTTAGGGGGTTTTTGTCTAAGTTTATAAAAATTAGCTTATAAGCAGTTAGTGTTTATAAGCTTATTTGAGCTTATAAGCATTTGAAATTTTAAGCAGCTATGTGTTTGGTTAAAGTACTTATAAGTGATTGATAAGTAGTTGACACGTTTGATAAAATGTAGCTTATAAGTACATTTTATTATTAAAATGACTAAAAAAATGATACTATATTATTTTATCAAATAATAAATTATACGATGAAATTTTAAAATTAAATAGGGATAAAGTGGTAATATATTTGGTTAAACTAGTTTATAAGTAAAGTGCTTATAAACTGGAAAAAAAAAAAAGTACCTCCTCACCAATTTTTTTTTTTTTTTTTTTTTTTTTGCTTATAAACTCAAAAAAGTTATAAACAAACATGTCAGTTTAATTTTAGAACTTATAAACTAGTTTTATTAACTTATAAGCTCAGACAAATACTTTTTTAATTTTATAACTAGTTTGATCGAGTTATAAGTTTAAGATAAAGAAAGGAGTTACCGGTAATATTTCAATATCAGTAAATTTGTGCTCCATTTCCTTTCTCTCAAATGCTAACTTGCACCATTCCCACGTCCCAAATCCGCTAGATCAACAGTCCCAAGCTTCTTATCTTCCGACAAAACCGACCAATTGGGACTTTGAACATCTCTCAGCCACTTGAAATCATTCGCATTGCCCTTATTCCCCCTCTCATTGCTCAACGCGGCAGCTTCCAAATCCTCCTCAATCCCTTCATATTTCAAACAATACGGCCCAAATCTGACCCCATTACAATCCTCAATGATCGGCCTACTCCTAACTCTCAAACAAAAATCACAACTTTTCACATAAATGAATCCTAATTTGATGCGAAGGCAAAACCAACACACAATCCCCAACTTCTTCAGTCAAAATCGAACCCGTCACAGGACTCGCGTAAACTTTACAACCCTTTAATTTATGGCCGAATAACATGCACCCACCCATCGTTTGTTGTAAAGACAAGTTGTTACCCATAAGGTTTGAAAATGACAAACAACCATTTTTCATCATAATTTGTTAGTGAATTGCATTTGAAGAAAGACAGTGCGATAATTTTCTCCTCTCTCTTCTACTTTCTCTTTCTTTTCCTCAAAATTTTCTTTATTGTCGTGCATCTCCAAATTCATCTCCCACTGGTGTGCCACCTTCACCACCCTCCACCACCATCTAACACCAGTCCACCACCATCATCATAGCCATCTTCTCCATACCTTCTGAGCCTAATGCAAATCCACTAGACCCATCCAAACCTTCTACTCCATCACCTCCTGCACAACCACCTATCTCACCACCACCTCCTCGAAATACATCTCCACGCCCATTGACATCTACACCTTCTCCCCCTTCTCCTCAACAATTCATTTCACCTACATCACCACCACCACCACCACCACCACCACCACCTGTATCTAATCCACCAACCAGTTCATCGATCACCACCAGTAGCATCCAATCCACTAACCAGTTCATCGTCTCCACCACCGCCAATATCTAATCCACCAAGGAGTTCACCTCCACCACCACCAGTATTTACTCCGCCAACGAATTCCCCTCTACCACCGATGGCCAATCCACCAACAAGTCCTCCTTCACCATCAAATTTATCTCCATCACCACCATCTGATCCACCAAAAGCTTCACCTCCACCACAAACACCATCTACTCCACCAAATAGTTCCTACTTGATGATAAATATGCTTTGCCCAAGTAGTTGACAACTTGACATTTCACAAGAAATTCTTTTACTGGTACAAGAAACCTCCCTTTTCTTGAATTTATAAAAATATAAATGAAAACACTATCAAAATGCCAAATTTTAATAAAGATAGACACTAATACACAAACCTAGAAACAAATAATATAAATGTTCTAGTAATTGTTACTCTGTATAGTGTTTGTCTGCTGCTGCTCCCATAATAAGCTTCTTGATAGAGTTCCGATGGACGAGTTCAATGACTCCGACCAAAGAAAGGAGAAGGGAGAAGTGACAGGCCAAAGAAAATAAGAAAAAGAGAGGAGAAGGGAGGGGAGAGAAAAAGAAGAAAAAAGAGAAGTGGCTGGGTAGATCTGCGAAAGAGAAAAAAAAAAATTGAAGTGGAAGAGAAGAAGAAAGAAAAATAAGAGAAAAAAGGAGGGAAAATGATGTTGCTTTCTTTGGTGGCGACACAGTAGAAAAATTTGAAGAAAATAAAAAGAAAGAAGAAAAGAGAAGGAAGCGATTTTTTTTAGGCTGAACTCAAATTACCATATTGTCCTCCTTCAAATAGAATTCATTAACTGATTTTGACGGAAAGTAGTATTTTGTCATTTCCAAAACTTTTGGTGCCAACTTGTCTTTTACGGAAAACTATGAGTGCGTGCATGTTGTTGGGCCTTAATTTATTAACAAACA